GGCCTTCCTCGCATGTACTTTGGGTGGAGTGTGTTTGCCGTAATAATCACTTCATTTCAGTAATTGATATATATGAATATATTTGAAAAAACAACTTTTGCCAGATGATTACATTTGGATCAAGTGTTTTGTTGTGTGCATGTAAAAGCACCGAGTTTCACTCGCACGAGTGTCAACTGTTGAACTCAAGTCAGTGACACGTGCGCACGGGCGTGGCGGGTTGAGGGCGAGCTAACTCTCGTGTTGGTACAGGGGAGCCGTTGGCGGAGGCGAGGGGCGCCGCCCACTACGAGCGCCCCGTGGCCTGGGTCCGCGGCAACAAGAAGGGCTCCGGCTACCTCATGCACGTGACCAACGTCTTTCACCGCCTCGGCTATGAGCTCTCGGAGGACGGCGACGACTGGGACGTTCTGTGGTCGCACAACTACCCTTTCCGGGAGCTGAAGGAGATGATGACCAAGCTGAAGCCCCACCAGAGGGTCAACCACTTTCCCGGCTCGGGCTTCATCACCAACAAGGTCAACCTCGCCACCTCAGGCCTGCCCTTCATCCCGCGGGCGTTCAGGATGCCCGACGAGAAGGAGGACCTGCTCAAGCATGCGAAGCTCAACTCGGACCTCCTGTTCGTGCAGAAGTCCAACAACCATCGCGGCATTAAGATCGAGAAGCTGGACGCCCTTGACCTGGGCGCCGACGGGTCCTTCGTGCAAGAGTTCGTGCACAATCCCTTGCTGGTGGACGGGTACAAGTTCGACATCGGCGTGTACACCATCGTCACCTCCATACAGCCTCTCAGGGTCTACATCTACGAGGGGGATGTGCTCTTCAGGTGAATGAGGGCGAGTTATTTGTTACCGTTAAAAAATCATGTATCAGGAAATATATTTCATTGAAGAAAATCAACAATACCGTTCCATAAGTGGTATGTTGAAATTTCCTTTTTCCCATTGCAAAGGTTCTGTCCCGTGAAGTACCACCCGTTCGACCCGGAGGTCCGGGACAAGTACGTCGTAGGGGATGATTACCTGCCCACGTGGAAGGTTCCCTCTCTTGCCAAGTACTACAAGGATCTTGGTTTCGGCATGAAGAGGTCCTTCGACGCTTGGCTGAAGTCACAGGATAAGGTAGGAAGTGTTTATTTATCAGTGAGGCGATAGTTTTATCTTGTTCAAAAGACGAGTGGCATGCGCCGTCTTGCTATGCTGTTGGAGTTTTGGTTGAGGGTGCAATCATGCTTAAACATACACGTTTTAGCACTACTTTTATATCTGGAATTTTATTACAAGCATCCTGTTTTGTGTCTTAACAAAACAGTTCTCTTTCTGGTAATTGCAATGTATGTTGAGTATCGATAGAGATTTATTGTTCGAATGTCCTCTGAGGCGCGCCCCCTTTCCCGCCTGCAGGACCCGGAGGTGGTGTGGGACGCCGTGCGGGAGGCCATCCGCAACGTGTTCTACGGCAAGGAGATGGCGCTGGTGCAGGCCACCAGCCACTATCCGCGTTCCACTAACTTCTTCGAGATGATGCGCATCGATTTCGTTATCGACGATCAACTCAAAGTCCACCTGATGGAGGCCAACATGTCTCCCAATCTCTCGTCGTCACACTTCAAGGAGAATCGACTGTTGTACGAACAGGTGGTATTCAACCTGCTCTCGCTGGTGGGCGTGGGGCGCGCAGTGCACTCCGCCTCCTTGGCTCCGAGCTCCCGGGAAGAGACGGAGATGCAGGCGGCCCAGAAGGACGTCATGGTGTTCCCCGAGCACTGCGCTGCCTCCTGCTCACTCGAAAAGGCCTGCGATAAGGTGGAGTGCCAGCTGTGCAAGCCGTGCCTCAACAGCCAGCAGCAGGAGGACCTGACACGAGCCCTTCTGGAGCACCAGCGGCGGGGCATGTGCCGGCGGGTGGTGCCGCCGTCCATCCAGCACCACCACGCCCACGACCCTGCCAACATGAGCGGACTTTCGCCTGAAAATACTCTGCTGACGGAGTGGTTCCGCGGGCAGTGTCTGCTCGATCAGGCGCTCTGCTCTTGATCAGGCGCTCTGCTCTTGATCAGGCCTCTGCTCGGCGTCTCACGTGTACTTTTATTCTCGTAAATTATGCAACACTAAAGTGTCTCAATCAAAGCATATGTTAGCGGTTGTGGATGGAGCTGTGGCTGTGCAGTAGGATGGGGCAGCGACGTAAGCCTCTATGTGATAAAGATGCTATTCATTTAGAGAGTGAGTGAGTGAGTGTGCGTTTGTGTTTACATTTACATCATCGCTTTTTGTTTGAGTTTTCAGTTAATTCAGATCTTTAACTAATCAGAAGATGCACGGGAGAGCTGTTAAACATTAAACGAGACTAAAATCGTGCCCAGAACTGATTGTCCAATCCGATTCCTTGTTGTTAATCTGGACAGACAAGATGTCATGTGCGTTGTTAGATGACGAAGCAAAAGCATTTGTGCCTTGTTTTCTCTTTATTTCTGACGTTGCGACGATAAAGCGCAAAGTTGGGGATTGCCTGACAGATGGCAGCTGTATATCTCTGCACAATTCGTCGCACATATTTTTTGTACTTATTATGTATGATACTATGTATAGTTTAAGTCTGTTATTAATAAGTGCAATTTATTGTCACAAAGCATATGTTATGAAAAAAATATGTAATAATGTATTTTATTAAGATGATTAGATATAGAAAAAGATAAGTGTTTAATATATGTATATTTTTGCTTGAAATTTTCATAGAAATTAGTTTAACTTCACTTGTTTCTATGGTAATTGTATTTTTGCAATTTACATATACTTTAAAGTTTTCCTCACCGTATGTTTATTTGTTCTTATCCAGAGGCTATTGAACTGCTAATGCAATAAATGGCCTTCTTGTTCGAGATGTTAACATAATTCTTGTATAGCGATATTCACTCACGCGTTACTTCACACGTACCTCGCTTGTAAGTAACGTCATCATCACTCCATCACAATAAAGGTATTGTTTTAAGGATTTCTTTCTTTCATACCCTTGATTTTATGCAGTTGATTTTGGCACTACAGTCCTTTATATACCCTTTTGCAGGCGAAATCGCTCGTTTTATCCGGAAGACTCAAGTTTTTTGAAGGGTGAAGTAAGGTTCCATCCGGTGTTCTTTTATTTGCCCGTCTATTTTGAGATGTTTTTGAAATGTAACATGACTTCGGGCTTTCGAGTTCATTTTTAGCAAACGATATTTGAAGAATGTCCGCTCGAGAGATCTGCAAATTTTGGGAGCCCCGCCTTATACGCTCAGGAAAATAAAGATAAACATTGTTAATTGATTGCTTCACACTTTTAATTGCCACGGTGCGTGAGTAAGGCAGCAAGGCAAAAGTGTGAGTGAGGGGTAGCGGGCATAGACATGCCCTCCTATCCCTCATGGACACTGATCGATGCCTCGATCACGATATTGTGATCGAGGCATCTTTACTCGGAGTTGGAAACCCCGTCTCCACAACATAGAGGAAGGCAAAAAATAGAATAATAATAATAATAAAAAAAAATAACGCTTTCGGTAATGAAGCATGGTATGCTGTTGGGAATGGATATGGGGCGTGAAAAGACTCGGGCTTAGAATTAGGTAGTGTCGAGTTGAGAAGTTGAGGCTGTAACTGTAACAAGACTACGCGGAAGTTATATCATATAGCTGTATCTGTTGTCGTGAGGACAGCGTTAATTTTGAGCTGGAAGTTAGTAATTCCATGTCAGAGTGGTCGTTGAGGTTTTAAAATGGAGTTCCGGTGGTGGTTGCACGCAGTGGAAGTTGATATGACTGCTGCCAGAATTGAGAGAGCGAGGTCAGTTGAAAAGGATATATGATAACTAAATTTCGGTATTTTCTTTATTCGTAAAGCATTATTCCGTGATTATGACAGTCCACCGCACCCAAGAGTTTGCTGAAGCTGTTTACGCACGTCATTTAACGCGTAATGACATGTACACTGCACCAAATCGATCGAATTTGAAGCGGCTAGCTCATTGGGGGAACAAGCTGGGCTCATGACACAAGGAAATCCATCGATCCTTTTCGAATTTGTAGCTTATATTGCAAAACAAGGACATTCGCCAGTGCATGCTTAAAAATGAAAGGATATAATAAAGTAATTTTGAATAGGAGTGATGTAGAGCAATGTGGACTAGGGATTTCCCGCTCGAATTTGTTATCTGATTCGTCCGCGTAGCATGAACTCCTCGGGTATAATAGTAAAAAAAAAAAAAAAAAAAAAAAAAAAATGTCAAGAAATATACCTTAATGTGAAGAATCATGTACACATCTGAAAGATGCCGATGATAATAAAGGTGTGACCAGTAAGTATGCATTCTGTTACCCTTTGCACTGGTCTCGGATGGGGCATGCTTACCGCAAATAGTTTCCAAGGTGGTTGGGGAAGTCACAGTTGGTACAGGTGTATGTCCGTTGCTCTTTCAGCGTGAATATTTAATATTTATTAAATTAAAAAAGAAGATTTGCACACCTGAAGACGGTGAATTGAACGACATTCCAATTAATTTCATCAATCGATTTGCTAATACTCGACAGCTGAATGGCCGTTGAATCAGGAGAGAACGAGCGGACAGATTGTCGCCAGTGAGCAGAGCAGCGTGCCCATTGGTCGCATGCAAGAGCCGAGCTGATTGGTCGACATGAACGGTTGCGTCATCAAAGGCACGCCAATTGCAGTGGACTTCTGGAGACCGACCAAAGCGCCAGAGGTAAAGTGGCAGCAGGAAAGGCGTTCTGTTCCTCTTGCTCTGCTTGTGAGAAATTGTTCCGGCGCGCTTTGTGCCGCATTATGGTTGACACAATTGTTTCTAATGAGTAATAATGTACACACGTGTGTTGAACAAAACTTTCATTGACAGGGTGGGCGACGTCAATTTCTCTTTTTTTTACACACGCACACACACACACACACACACACACACACACACACACACACACACACACCACACACACACAATCACACACAACA